TGCTGTTGGTCGTGGTGTTTATCACAGCAACAGGAAAGACTAATAGAGAAATGTTTCTGATGGTGTTTCTGCTGCAGAGCTTACAGCCTGAGGACCTGAGAAGGACTCTCCCTGCTCTCCGCCCTGCATCTATACCCGTTATCTGCTTCCAGCATGCAGCTGCCCTGGTGTGGTTACATATGGTGGCAGATATGGGACCTTAAGGCCAAAGTGTACTCAGCCAAGGGTGGTGAAAGCCAGATTGAGTCTGGTAGGAGCCAGTCCTACCCAGAATCCTTATCATCCCAATGGTTGCTCTAGGCCTGTCACTGCCAACCCTCACACTGTGTGTGGGGGAGGGATAAGTAGAAAGGGAACTGGTAGACAGGAACTGTATGGCCACTGAGAGTCTTCATGTCTCACATAGGAGCATCTCTTTCTCCCTAAGGATGCTGGAAGGAAGGAGCTGCTGTCACCCCCACCTTGCAAAAGAGAAATGGGAAAATAGCAAAGAGCCAAGAAGGAAGGAGAGGTCACAGTCACCCCCTAAGTGATCTGGACTCAGGGGGCCCTACCCCTTTTGCCCTCCATACAGTAATGGGCTGCTCCTGCAGAGGACCGGGGTTTGGTTCCCAGTGCCTACATGATGGCTAACGACCATCTGCAACTCCAGTTCCAGGGCATCCAATGACCTCTTCTGGCCTCTACAGACATTGCACACATATGGCGCATACATACAGGCAAAACACTCATAATACATAACATAAAAAAGTTTTTTTTTTTTTTTTTTTTTTTTTTTTGAGACAAGGTCTCCCTGTAGCCCCAGCTGGCCTGGAACTCACAGAGATCCGCCTGCCTCTGCCTCCCAAGTGCTGGGATTAAAGGCGTGAGCCACCACGTCCGGCAGTAAAGAAGTTTTTTTGCCCCCTTTCCTCTTCCTGTGATTTAGAATGAAATTCCAAGCCAATATGGTAGCCCATGCCTGTATTCCCAGTACCTGGGAGGTTGAAGCAGGTCTGAATAGCGACTCTGGGGAGCAGGTAGCTGTGTCCCACAGGATGGGGTGGGGGAGCACATTGACACATCTGCAAACATTCCTAATGGAATAATGGTAGCCACCTAGGGTAGGGAACTGTTCTGACATGACTCTCAAGGTCTGTGATCTCCTTCTTTGCTTTCTGGTCCAGCCAGGAGCCCTAAGCATCCCACCTGGAGGATGTGTTCGTCCCAGGAGCCTTTTCAGTGGGAGTGGCACACTTGAACCTCAGTGTGGGCCTTGGAACTGGAGCTGACCCTTCCTCGCTCAGTGGCACAGGTGATCAGAGGCCATGGGTTAATGTCCCATCTGAGCTTTCCAGAGGACAGCCAGGGCTTTAGACACCCTTGAGCTCTTGCTGGGTGGAAATCCCTTCTAACCCTGTGGGAGGCAGCAGTGGGGCTCCGCATCTCCTAGGCTCTCTTCCAGTCTCTTCCTGTCCCATCTCCTGCTCAGGTCCAGCCCCAGGAGCCCACAGACAATCTGAGACCACCTCCCCAGAACAATCTCTAGACCTACCTGCCCTTCCCAGGTTCCCATGCAACCCCATTCCTGAGTTTACCTGGGGCCAACACAGCTCACAGCTGTCTCCCTGACTCTGTGACCACTGCACAGTAGCAACATGACACAAGGCTCAAGTGATAAAATGTGGCATGGAGCAGGGGCTTAACCAGGCCCAGCTTCAGTTCACTCATTCATAAAACTGGCAGTAATACTGTTAGGGTCCGTGATTTGGTGGGTCTCTTCTGGAGAACAAATGCACAAGTATGGAGATGCAAAAATCAAGCAGAGTTTTATTAAACCAGCTAGCTGGGGCTGACCGTCCTTCCAAGACACGCAGGTCTGGTTAGAGCGATCGACCCTGAGGCAATTTCAGGTAAAGATTATATAGGCTCCCACAACCGTTTACACAAAAGCCCATGTTTATACAACCAATAGTTTCAAAGCAAGCATTTCACAAACCAATAACTTCAAAACAAGAAAAATGTTACAACTCCTTTCAGGTGTCCCAATCGGGGAGGGATGGGTGGTATGTGCCTGGCATGGCCCTTCCCTGTTATCTTGTGTAAGCAGACATGCCTACGTGACATGACACAGACCAGACAGGTCAGGTTACAGGGGGGCTGTAGCGCTTGCCCCTATCTCCGGATGCCTGTGTCTCCAGTTGAGTTAATTGGTTACAAGCAGTAAATTCAAACAAGTAAATTCAAGCAGTTAATTCAGACAAGCAGTAAATTCAAACAAGCAGTAAATTCCTCTTTCCCTAACAATACCTCCTTGAGGAACCATGGGGACTGAACGAGACAGGACTGGTTTAACCAGGTCAAGTTCATTGCTATTTAGCAATTTCTCAGTGATTGGGATACTGAGTATTACAGACCATGAGCTCTTCCCAGCCCTCAGAGTGAGACAGTGGGAGGTCCAGAGTCTGAATACTCTAATGAATGAGTGAGTGAGTGAGCGAATGAATGAGGCAGCCTTTAAGAGCCCAGAAGAAGCAGTCAGCCCATCTGGTGTCCCCTGCTAGGCGGCTGACTCTGGATGGGCTACTTTGCTTCTCAGCTTCTCAGTTTCCCCATACAGTGGTTGGTTAAAGCTCCTCCTAAGCCACCTTTGGGACATTCCCATGGGTGCCCCGCCAGCTCACCTTGGCGGTCCTCAGCACCCGAGGACCCAGTAACCTGGAGCCTCGTGCTCCGTGCTCCCGCAGGGCCGTGTCCAAGGAACCCAGGGCTTGTCTTGCGGCTGCTACGAATTCAGGAGAGGGCTGCAGGTTGTGGGCCACCAGCTTGTCTAGGGCGCTGGCTGGTGTGCGGTACAACTCCATGGTCACCTGCACCCAGAAGGATTTTGTTTCCTCCCCAGGCTGTTCAGGCTGCTCCCTGGTCTGAGAGGATGCCTGGGGCTGGGCCAGATCCTGCAGGCGGGGACAGCAGAGGCCAGAGGGCTGCCAGCCACCCCACCTCCGCCCTCGCCTAGGCGCTGCTCCCGGCTTTCAGTTTCGTTTCTTCCTCCTCTTCCCTCGCCTCCCAGCAGCTCTGGGCGTTGCAGACTTGATAAGAGAGTTTGCAGCTACACTTTTTCTTTGATGTGATTTTTGTCCCCCTGGGCAACCTGGGAACTGTGAGCACCTGGGGAACTGGCTCTCAGTGTCTGCTGAGGCTTCCCCACCTGTTCTCCAGTGACTGGGATAGACCTGCTGCCCATGGGGCACCTGGGGCTTGAGGAAGTAGCTCCACTATGATACTCCCCAGACCCTAGCTGTCACCTCTCTGCTTTGCTGTGCAGCGGTAGATTTGTGAGTTAGCCTCTCTGGGCCTCCATTTCACTATCTGTCCTGAGAGGTCATTCAAGGACGTTTCAGATGGTAAACAAGGCAAGGACCTGAGGGGTTGAATGGCCTTGGGTCCCAGTCCAACTAAGCCTCTGAGCCTTAGTTTTTTCATCAGTAAGGTGGGATTCTATTTTATGAACCATTTGGTGCCAGTTCTAAATATTTCATAAATTTCAACTCAATCATCTGAAAAGTCCTATGAGGTGGGTAGCATGACATCTTTATTCCAGAGACAGGGAAAGGAGGAATAGAGAGGTTAAGTAAGTCACCCAGTGTCGCACAGCAGATGACTTGCGGAGGTGGAATTTGGACCAGGTTTTCTGGCTGCAGATACCTTGACTTTGCTCCTTGCTCTGCTGTGGCACAAGACTGTTGCTGGAGGAGGCGATACGACATGAGGTCCTCAGCATAGGCCTGGCACACAGGTGAAGAGATGGAGTCTACAGCCCTGGTGAAGAGACGGAGGCCATCATGGTTGTGGTTGTGCCCTGGCACAACCAGGATGAGCGACAAAATCAGGTGCAATTTCAAGCTGATGAATGGAGGTCTAAGGCAAGGAGGTGAAGGTTCCCCTTTAGGTGGTGTGTATGTGTGTGTGTGTGTGTGTGTGTGTGTGTGTGTGTGTTGTGTGCAGTGTGTGTGGTACATATGTGGTATGTGTGGGGTGTGTGTGTATGGCGTGTATGTCTGTATGATGAGTGCGTAGTGTTTGTGTGGTCTGTGTGTGTATGTATGGTGTGTGATGTGTGTATGTGGTATGTGGAGTTTGTGGTGTATGTATATGTGGTATGTGTATGTGTGTGGTATGTGGAGTGTGTGGTGTATGTATGTGTGTGTGCAGCGTGCATGTGTATGGTATATGTACACTGTATGTGGTATATGTGGTGTGTGTCAGTGTGGGTACCTGAGGATAGCATGCTGTTTTAGGGGCACACTTTGGTGGTGTGGGTTATATACCCTGGTTCTGTTCAGAAATACACTCTAAGAGGCCCTGGGGACTGATAAGATCCAAAGGCATTCTTGGTCTGCTGTGGTCACTTAAGCTGGGAAGGACTAAGGAGGTTCAGAGCCATGTGGACAAGTTGGGGAGCAGAACATGGGGGAAGTAGATCTCATCAGCACATCCAGGGCTTAGGAGCCCACTGGGGATTCATTCCCAGTCTTAAAGCAGGTAACGCAGGCTGCAGCCCTTCCCACCTGCCTCCCACCACCCACACTTCCTTTAAGGTGAGCCATTTCCTGTAGGGTGAGCTGGGTCTAGGGTCACAGGTCTGTGAAGGTTCAGAGAGGGACAATGAGGAGCTGGGCTGTGTCCAGGTCTTTCCTAAAAGAGATATATTGAGGTTTTAACCCCAGGACCTCAGAATGGAATCTTATTAAGAAATAGAACGGTGTTAGAATAAGTCTATTAGGGGCTGGAGAGATGGCTCAGTGGTTAAGAGAACTGGTTGCTCTTGCAGAGAAGCTGGGTTCAATTCCCAGCACCCACATGGCAACTAACAACTGTCCATAGCTCCAGTTCCAAGGGAATCTGATGCCCCCGTCTGATCTCTGCGGGTACTGCAAAGACACAGGTGTGCTTACATACAGGCAGACATAACACTCATACACATAAAATTAATTAATTAATTAATTAAAGCTATTAGGATGTGTCCCAGTTTGATATGGCTGGTGTCCCTGTAGGACAGAGAAATTTAGACGGAGCTGCACACAGGGTGAATGTGGTATGAAGATGGAGGCAGAGGGCAGAGCCATGCAAGATGCCCAGAGCCACCAGAAGGCAGAGGCGGAGACAGAGTCTCCCTTGCAGCCTTGGAAGGATGCAGCCTGCTGATATATTGGTCTTGGGATTCTAACCCAGAGTCCCTCTGCTATCTAAACCCCACCATCAGTTTGCTGCACAAGTGGTTATACAGATTGTTCCTGCAGCCTGGGAAATGAAGCCACCCCCTGGCAGTCTCACTAGCTGTCTGGTGGCCTTCTCCTCCCCTCCCCTCCCCTTCCCTCCAGTCCTCTCCCCTCCCCTCCCCACTCGTTGAGTTTTCTGGTTTTCATTCCCACCTCTGGGTCTCTGCAGAGGCTGTTCCCTGTGCCACCCATGCTCTTCCACGTCTTCATTTGGCTGGTCCTCCTGTATTCTTCTGCCCTTGGCTCTGAGGTCCCTTCTTGGAGCAACTCAGGAGCTCCTTCCAGGGCCTCAGGCAAAGTCTTCTGCCCTGCCATCCACAGGTGCTTATAAACTGAAGTGCCTAGGGGGAAAGAAAAGAAAAGAAAAGAAAAGAAAAGAAAAGAAAAGAGGGAGGGAGGGAGGGAGGGAAGGAAGGAAAGCCACAAAGCCCCATCTGTATTAAAGGTGCCACAAGGCTGAATGATTAATTTGAACATTGTAATTATGGAGAGTTTGAATGTTGCAAATCTAGAGCCAAATTATCTTGGGTTATCTTTAGTTACCAGAAGTCATTGCCCACCATCCTTAGGACTATCTGGTAAAACCTTTTCAATGTGTTCTTAACAGACCACTGGCTTCCACTAACTCCAGAAGCTAAGGATACCTTCAGATAGCACCTGAGACCTACAACAGAGATTTCCTCTTTGCTGTAAGGGCCTGCCTGCGTTCCCCACCAATATATTTGGTAAATGCCTTGATCTATGACTTTCTTTGTTCTGTAACTAAAAAATCTCACATTCATCTAAGAATATGTGATTCTGGGCTGGAGAGATGGCTTAGCAGTTAAGAATACTGACTGCTCTTACAGAGGACCCAGGTTCAGTTCCCAGCACCCACATGGCGCTAACAACCATCTGTAACTCCAGTTCCAGGGGGATCTGATGCCCTCTTCTAACCTCCATGGGCATTGCACAAGACGGGTACACTTATCCACATTCAGGTAATACACCCATACACATAAAATAAAAATAATAAACGAAATATTTAAAAAAACATGTTATTCAGGGTAGCCTGACTGTGTTTCTAGGCCATGGACCCTCACTCATATTTATCTCAGAATAAACTCTCTTATCCCTTTTGAGGTGAGTGCTGTGCTTTGCACTGACCCTCTTGTCACCACGCTCATCAGGCCTCTACTAGGTACTGCATAATTAGAAGTGAACCAAAGCCCTGTTAGACGGCACCTGCTCCCAGCACATCAGTCCTGGGCTTTGTGTTCTTTGTTCCCCCAGTACAAAGTCCCAGGGCACAGCCCAGGGCTGGCCCCTGAGAAGAGAAACATTTTGTGCTGTGTGTGTGTGTGTGTGTCCACACACGTGTGTGCATTTCCCTGTGTGTGCACCTGGGGAAGTCATAGGTCAACACTGGATATCCTCTATCACTTTTCAGCTTATTTTTTGAGGCAAGTTCTCTCACTGAACCTGGGAGTTCACTGATTACACCAATTAGTTGAGACTAGGTGGCCACAGAGCCCCATGGATCCTCCTGTCTCCTCCTCCCCAGTAGGGTGGCAGGCACACTCAGTCACACCGTGCTTTTTACATGGGTGCTAGGGATCGAACCTAGGTCCTCATGTCTGTGAGACAAACACTCCACTGACTGGAGCCACTTCCCCATTCCAAGAAGAACTTTTTTTTTTTTTTTTTTTTTTTTTAAATGAGACAGTATCTACTATGTAGCCCCAGCTGGCCTGGAACTTGCTATGTTGACCAGGCTGGCCTCAGGTCCACTTACCTCTGCCTCCTGAGTGCTGGGATTAAAGGTATGCAACACCATGCCTGGCATATGTGGTGAATGCTCACAGGCAGGCAAGGCTTCTGTTCTGGTCTGGCTGCTGTCCCTGACAGAGGAGTCAATAAATCAATTTACTTTCTAAAAACACCACAGTCTTAAGGCCCAGTTTCTTTTCAGATAAGTTGCATGGTGGACACTGACATAATCCACCATGTGCTTGCTCATTAAACTCTTCCTGGAACCTTGGAACCTGGAGATCTGTCATTGTACCCCATGACAGAAAACCATTTTCTTCCCTCGAGGCGGGTGTTTGTGTGTCAAGGATCTTGCCCAGTGTCCCAGCCTCTAGCAGAGTTTAGAAACTGGATCTGGGCCCAGGCTGGGCTCTACCTACAGGGAAGCTTGGGCAGGGCACTGCTAGTATTGCTGCAGGGAGAAGAGCCAGTGTTTTCCAGGGTGTGTGTGTGTGTGTGTGTGTGTGTGTGTGTGTGTGTGTGTCAGGAGGGATTGTGTAAAGAGGGGAGGAGCAACTACCAGAGCTCCCCCCGAGGGTTAGAGACAGAGGTATGACACATTTACTCTTTGAGCTGGGGGTGTCAGCATGTGGGGTTGGTTTACTAACTTCCTGTCAAAGTTTCACTTCACCTGTGTGGTCACTCCCTGCAGAAACTTCCCCCTCCTCCCTGGTGGTTAAACATTCACACTCTAAGTTGTTTCCTGGGTAGGCAGGAGCCAGGGATGATGAACCGAAGGACTCAGGAGTCTCCTAGAAAGCCTGTGGATTTCCCTACTGAAACCTCCTCATCCTCAC